GTGTGTGTATACACGCATAATCTTGTTATTAACAGAGATGATGTTGGTGGTTTTAATCATGTAGTCGTCTCACTGTAAAGCTTAATTCTACAAGATGCTGTGTAAAATTAATTAATATGAATTAATATTAACTGACCTTTGGTCCTGATAAGATATTATCAGATCTGGACAGGATCTGGTCGGCTGTGTACAAACACACAGTGATGCTCGATAAACCAGTTCATGCGTCGGGTCTAAAATCTCCTGAAACCCTGCAGTTGATCTAAACGCTGACACAGCGTCTGTAATAGTGCAAACAAAGACCACTTGGGAGCCGTCCTCCTCAGAACAAATCAAACATGGATCACAAGACTTTGGACTTTCATTGACTGAACCTGTGTTTTGATATCGTTTGTTTTTTTCACACGAGCACTTGTAGTTTTATGAAGAATTCGAGCACAGAAAATTTATACTTGTATAACTACGCATGTGACGAATAAAGAACCTTGAACCTTGAAATGACTCCCACATCTCAGAGGTGCAGGAGTGCCCGTGTAGGGGGTGGGGGTGGGGGGGTGTCAGATCTGTGTGTGTCCTGTGTTCAACTGGAGAGAGAGAGTGATTTTAAGTTTTTGGTCATTATTATTCTATAAATGCATCGATTACCAATATTTACATATGGCGTCCTGACAGTACTCTGATCTTTTACAGCACTTAAAACTCGTGTTTTGGTAGATGAGCATCTGAGGTTGGTTAAATATCAGGCAGGAGAAAAAGGAAGAGGGTGGTGTGACAGAGCAGCATGCTAGGAAACAAGTGAGATGGAGGAAGAGGATCTGGAAGAAGAAGAAGATGCAGCTGTATTGCTAATGGCGATGAATCCAAACAGGATTTTTATCCTACATAAAACTATCAGGTATAGTGATGGTGTTCTCTGCTTCTTCCATTCCTGTTGAAATGATTTATTTATCGTGGGTTAGAGTGAGAAAGGTAAGACTGGCTAAATAATTCAGTGTGGATCGAGTTACAGCGTGACCACAGCTGTTTCCTATGTAGATAAAGTCAATGTTTGATCGCACTAATGTTTTAAATGTCACTTTTTCAAATATCCACAACAACAGTTATGTTGGAATACATTTTGGTGACTGGCACGAACACGATGTCCGTACTGATCCACGTAGATACACTCGCAGTGTTGATCCCATGGTGAATCCTGATATCCCGGTGAAACCCGAGCGCCTGTCGGGTCTGTCTGATAGAGCTGTGCATGTACCCACACGACGACACTCTACAGGCTCGTTCATCTGTGGAACTTCACCAGAATTAGTTCTTTTACTGAAAGTCATGGAAAATTTTTGGATGTATCAGGAAGAAAAGTTTGAGGAGGAACAAGCAAAGCAGAAACATCCAACTCTCCCACATGATCAGGATGAGGTATGTTTGGTGGAATA